TCTTGTTTTGACTGATGTCCCTCTATTCTGTTTGGCTTGATAGTACCAGGTTCGAAAGTTTAGGCAACAGCTGTGAAGACAGTGGGATTCATTATGACGCCCATTCTGGTTGACTATTATCTACTTTTGAAGACCTATAATGTCTCCAATGTTTTGGTTTTGCCGGTTTTGTTCTTTACTGTTTTGTTCAATTTTATTATAACTGATGATATAGGCAATTCTATTAGAGATAGCGGGAGGCATTATGGTAACCATTGTTGATCACCTTGTATTATGCTTTTACATTATCTATTATGTCCACCCTTTTGATTTGACTGACTCTGTTCTGTTATGTCACATTTGGTTCTACTCTCTTCCAAAAAAGTAATACAGTGGGAGCAACAAAACCCAAAATGTGTAATTGTCATTGTACAAAAGAGAGGAAAAGAAAGTGCTCTAAATGATATAACTGCATGTATATTTAAGTGTATAAGATAGATAATGATATTACTGAGTTTTGTTGGATCATTGAGCAGAACTGTTTGCAGTCTCACTGTTGGAATGTCCACTTTATAAGCTTTAATTTTGTAACTTGAACAACTATTTCTAAGATGACAATATGTAATCCATTAATTAGTGATTTCCTACTGTTTATTTTTTTCTGTAAATCTGTATAACTTGTACCGTTTCTCTGTTTTTTTTTTTCTTTTTCTCCTCAAATAAAATTTAAAAAAAAAAAAAAAGATTCCCTGGGGAAAGAAGCATCTAGAAGCACTCAGTTTGCAGAGTTTGTACCATTGTAACCAGTGGAAGCATTTTCCTTACTGACAAAGAGACATTGCTCTAGTTCAGATTTTCAAATGAACGATCCAGAAATGCTTTCTCAGTGTTTTTCTCCTCTTTTCTAGGTCCTATTCTTAGGAGTATCACCCTGCTCAAGTAGCAGGGGAGGGATATTTAGTGAGTAAGTGTTAAGGTGCTGTCACTGTGGTCCTGCAGATGGCCCCAAGGGAAGGAAGGACATTTTAACATCAGGAATCTTTGATTGCAATTGATTGCAATAATACAATTGATTGCAGTGTGGATCTTAGTGAGGCAAAAGGTAAATATGTAGGCAGTACAGCTGTTGATTACAAAAGCTAATTTTGTGAGGAGCCAGGGTCAGGGGTACTCAGGGCAGTCTTTGATTTATAAATGTTATTCAAAATCAAGATTAATTTACCAAATGCAAAGCGATAGTGTTTACTCTTGCTGTGTAGAGAGCATTTTTCATGTTCGACTTCAAAGAGTCAAAGCTATAACCAGAAGAAGCTTGAGATGTGCGTTTCCTCCAACAATATGAAAAACCAAAATTTTTCTTTATGCAGTCTGCAGTGACTAAGCATTTACTTCACTGTCGTATAATGAGAAATGATGAGCCTCTGAAAATTATTTTTGTTAGCTTGTTTAATTTTGAGCTAGTAAGATGTTTAATGTCAGAGGAGCATCTGCCATAGGTTAAATAAAAAAAATCAGGATAGAAACATGGACTCTGTCATCTCGCTTTCATTAATCTCTTCATAATTGAGGTTGAATCATACAAAATTGCTACTTTGTACATCAAAATGGCTTGATATCAGTCATTTCAGGTAGTTTAAAGTGCTAAGTGGCTCACGCATATGGATAAGGGAAAACACACACACAGATACACACACCCCCCAAGATATTTACCAAAAGTCCTGGGCCAGTGTCAAAGGTAGTGTAAATTTTTTCTATTTCTTGTCTATTTTTTTCTGCATGAAATGCTTTACTTTTTCATTCTAGATGCTCAAGAAAGACATTCTTTACTAATGACAGGAGTTGGATCTGAAAAACTCACTTTGGCAGTAAATTTAAGGATTCTTGATTTTTACTCTCTAGTGTTCTTTAGAAATGACCAGATTTTGTGAAAATACCACTTTCCTTCCTTTTTTAAGACAGTCTTGTTATACAGTTTGAGCTGGCCTTGAATTCAATTTGTAGCCCACTCTGGTCTTGAACTCACAACAATCCTCCTCCCCCAGCCTCCAGAGTACCGGGGTTAAAGGTGTGTGCCATCACATCTGGATTTTCTTTTCTTTTCTCTTCTTTTCCTTACTCTCCCCAAATTGACTTCCTCACATAATCTGGGAGATCTCCTTTCTGCATGTGGACATTTGAAGTAGGAAGTCAATAAATATTTGGGAATTGATGGAGAGAATATCCAAGGGGAAAGTGATTAAATAAATACATTCTGAAAAATTTCTGACTTAGTCCCCTGTAAAACAACTGGTTTGGTCTGAAAATAGGATGTGGCTGGGTTATTAATCATATACATACAAGATGAGAAAAATTATGTCTACTGCAAAAAGTAAAAGAAAAATTGTCTGTTTGGTTCAGAAGTATCTTCATGGTTTGGGATAAAAATGTTGGTTTATCACCATCAAAGAAAAGACTGAGATGAGTTAAAGTTAACATATTTTACTTGAACAAGAAAAAATTTCTAAAACAAGGCAATAGTGAAGACAAAGATTGGAATACTTCACTCCTGCATGTGTAAGGTTATATTAATAATCAGAGAAAAGGAAGTGACAGGCAGAAGGAACTTGATTGGCTGAGGTCAATGTTTGCCTTACATGGGCTTCATGTGATTGGCTGAAACTCAACGGTTGTTGTACTTACTGTTATGTGCTTGTTGAATTGTGCTTACAGTTCAATTCCTACAGAGGCAGTGTTAGAACAAATTTTATCATTCAAGTATGGAAACACATGTAGGCCAAACTTTTCAATTTAACATTATGAAGTTCTGAAAGATGGAATTTCTGTTCTTTTCCCATATAGACATGTGTGAAACATCTTTACCTACAAGATGTTACCTGGTCTTGTGCCAGCATTTAATTTTGTATTCTCCAGAGATTTGAACACGCAGTCTTGTAACTCTGTCTATGAATAGTCGTGCTTTAAAAAGTGCTTTAAACTAGGCATGGTGGCATAGACCGATAACCCCAGAACTCAGAAGCTTGAGGTAAGAGGATCTTAATGTTTGAGCCCAGCCTGGGTTACATAGTGACATCAAGGCCACCCTGGACTGCATAGTAAGAATTTTCTCGCTGGAGATCCTGTCTCAAAAAAAGAAAAGAAAGAAAAAAATCTATGGAGGGATATAGCTCAGGGCAAATGCCCTGGGTTCAGCCCTCAGTTCAACAGCGGGGGTGGGGGGGGGTGGGGGGGTGGGGGTGGGGTTTGAATTCTTGCCATTTTCTAGGATTGACATTGATATTTTAAATGTCCTTGTTTTTCTTCTGCGTGGTGGTTGATCACATCTACTGAGAGAGAGCAAGGCAGCAAGGAGGGCGGGAAGAGGAGGGAGGTGTTTAGGTAAGTGAAAATGACCAGCCTTCTTTCTAGCAGATGGTTTCTACAAAGCGCCCAAAGGGAGGCATTGATCACCCCCCGCTGAGCGGATCAATGGCCTATTATTTCCATCCTGTCATTACCTCTCGGTGGCCCAGGACAGCTCTGATGATGTGTTCTTAGCCTGTGACTAGAGCACGTCCTGGAATTAACTTGAATAACCTGATTCCTACCTTCCAATCGCGCCCTTCTTCCACACCATGTAGAGGTGAAACAAAAGTGAAGCGCGAAGACAAGGACGGCCGTGCCAGCTGCCGGAGGAGGGCATTGTCTGCGTGCATCTGAGGAGAAAAGGAAGCCGTTTGGCAGCGTGGGGCGCCGGGAGCCGGGAGGAGCTGGCGATCTGCACGGGGAGGGAGTGTGTGGCGGTGCCCACGGTGCCCACGGCCCTGACTGCACGGCCTGACAGGTGCTGGGGGGCGGCGCCGGGCACAGCTGCCCGAGCAGGGATCCCATTATCCTTTGCCTGGTATTGATTCACCCTGTGGGACGTTTCCTTTCTGGCTGTGTTAATTTCCAGAGTGTTCGTTTGCCTGGCCCTCAGCACATGCGGAGAGTCAGAGGTGCTCCAAGGACGGGTAATGGGCTCGGCCTTGCTGTCTGCAGAGGTTTTGTCTGCTGGGATTTCGGCTTCCTCTAATTACAGTGCCTGCGAGGGTCGGGGTCTGGAAGAAAAGCTTTGCCACTAGTATAATCGCCCGGGGTGTATCGTAAATTAATCTAATGACACGAGGTGTGTTTAGAAAGTTGGCTTCCCTCCCCCCCCCCTTTTTTGTTTTTCATCTGTAAACAGCATTTCTTATTTGAAAAGGTGATGTTTTTGCACAGAAAGTTCGGGAAGTGGTCCAGCAGTTGGAATGCTGGCTATCTACAGTCATGTTAAAATTTTCAGTCTCTTTTTTAGCTTACAGTGAGGCCTTCATCTTTGGAGATTATGTAGAGATGAACTTTGTCTTTGTTCTGTCCACCCATTGGTCTTGCTGAAAGGCAGCAGGTGGACTGATTTTGTGATCGTTAAAAAGACTGAGGGTGATTTACAAATCTGCGACCACAAGGATTCTGTCAGATAGATCACCCTTGGGAATAAAACTTTGGATTGTGAGTTACTTGTTCTTTGAGTGTTCTGCAAACAGCAAACATTTCTAATAAAATTTAATGTGATAATGAGAAATGTCTCACAATGCGAGTAGAGCTGGACCTTGAATGTCATGTGATCACAACTCAGTGGATAGTTCCTCTCTCTCTGGGGATTATGGATGATCAAAGCTGCAGCACTGTAAAGAAACCTGTTTTAGGACAACACAATGCCACATTCCCACTAAATCTTCAAAAGGAGGCAGAAGCGTCATTGGATAGGATCCTTATTAAAGACACAGGAAGAGGAAGAGACTCCATTAGAGTGGAGGTGGTGCTGCTCAGTAGCCCTCCTCCCTCTTGTCTCCCTCGCACCAGCCCTCAAGGTTTTCAAAGCTAAGTGCAGGGTAGTTTATTCATTTTTCTTTGTATTTTCTTTATTATTTTGCACTATATCACAGTATTATAATCATTTTTAGCTGAATATTTTTGGGTTGTGGAATGAATCATCTGAATTGTTGTTTTATTTTTTACAGGGAAATTCCCTTGGCTATATAGGTACTTTGGAGTACAAGTGTGTTTCTGGAAAGAATGATGCTTGCAAACCAGGATTGGAGCAAATCTGTTCACTTCATGTCAGGTTAAAGAAGTCAATCTCTGTGTTTTTAATCAGACCTTACCATTCAGGTAACTTTGAAACCCTCCTTAAAACTTGAGAATTTAGTGCAATTCGTCCCTGCTGCTTTCTGCAGGAGTTATGTCCCTCTCTACACCATGTTGTCTCCTCTGTTGGGAAAGGTGAGGTTGGGGGAGGAGAGGCAGCTCTGAAGCCTTGAAAGGAGGCAAAAGGCTGGAGCCTGGTTCAAGCCTGTCATCCCAGCACTCTGGGAGGCTGAGGCAGGAAGTGGCAAGTTGGAGCCCAGCCTGGGTAACTTAGCAATTGAGAGACACCCTCTCTCTTGAAGGAGAAAATAAAAAGAGAACTGAAGATGTGATTCAGAATGAGGTAGATTTTGAAGGAGATTAATGCCAATAATAATTTAATATAATAATTTAAAAATGTAAATATTAATTGTATAGGGGGCTGGGGATTTAGCTCAGCAGGCATAAGCACCTGCCTTGCAACTGTGTGGTAGTGAGTTCGATCTCCGGTACCGATAAAAAAGGAAAAGACAAAAATATTAATTGTATAGTTCAGTCATATATTGTACCTTGCTAACCTTGTACCTTTTAAAACATTTTTTAATTGAGTCGAGGTCTTGCTATGTCGTTCAGATTGACCTTGAACTCACTATGTAGTTCAGGCTGACCTCAAATTCCCAGCAGTGTTCCTGCCTCAGCCACCATGCTAGGATCCATCTTGGATTGAAATGCCCTTTCTGAGATTATATGGAAGTGTGTCCTAGGACTCTGTCTAAAAGCGCATGTCTTACTCATGGGTAACATAACAAAGAAGTGGTGGCTTCAATACTTCTCCTTGTACTGGGCACACAATGGGTACAATTTCTCCCATTCACAAAAGTTAGGCTTGGAATAGCAACCCTGTCATTCCACCACCCTTCAGCCCTGCATACCCCATGAGTTCTCTGATATGTTTCATACAGTGTGGATGGGTCTGAAATGGCTTTGCATTAACCCGGAAGTCAGTGAGCAGGGAGAGCTGCAGCTGGGGAACCCCGTCAGGATTCAGCTGTGCTCTTTAGGAAGTGCTATAGCCCTGGTGACTCAGACACCTCGTTCATGATTCTGAGATAAGCGTGATGTTGGGTTACACAAGATTCCTCAGAGCAGGGATTCACATCTGATGGGCCGTGGGCTCGTCACTGCCAGAGCCTGTTAGGAGCTTGACCTTTTCTCTGCATTTCCAGTCACTCTGTGTCTCCATCAGCACTGAGCCCCACTTCCTGTAAGGTCTGAGGGCCTTAGAGTCTCATCCCAGCCTAGCCCCTGCTGAGCACTGCGCACTGGAGAAATCTAGGTTGTTGCTTCTGAGTCATTCCAGATACACACATCTCACCCCACTCCTGTCCATGGAAAGATCTGTCTTGCACAGAGCACCAAAAATGTTGTCTTAAAGGGTGTAGTTCTCAGGGTGGAACTTAACAAGATGTATCATGGGAACTACTGACTGGAAGACGAAGTGTGGAAGATAAGGAGAAAAGAACAGATTCAAACACTATTTTTGGAAAACTTGTTATGAAAGAGCTGGGTGTGTTGGTGCACACCTGTAATCCCAGCACTACAGGAGACTGAAGCAAGGGGACTGCAGTTCTAATCCACTCTGGGCTATTTTGTAGTTTAACAAGTCCCTGCTTCAAAGTTCAAATAAGTAAATTAAATAAACAAATACATAGGGTTAGGGAGTTAGCTCAGTATAAAGACCCTGGGTTCAGTCTCCAGTATAGCAAGAGAGAGAGAGAGAGACAGAGAGAGAGAGAGAGACAGAGATATCATAATGTCACAAATTTAAAATAAGCAAACAAAATGTGAGTATACTTTTTATTTTTGGTTGGAGGCATATGAGAGGAAGAAATAACTTTTTTTCCAATCTACAGTAACAGGTTCCTTAAATAAGAGTCTGTCATGGACTTCACCATGGGTCATGCAATGTCTCCCATGAAGCAAATTGAAATAGACATTCCCGCTTAATACCCCACACTCAGACAGTTGTTATTTCAGCTTGACGAGGTTGTCTGCCACAAGATGAGAGGCCTCCAAGACATTAAACCAAATAAGGAACCTTTGCAGGAGCAGCTGACCCTCCCTAGGTTCCTCTCCTGGCCTGGTCCCTTATCTCTGCTCCCCTCTCCTGCGGTTCCAGTAGGATGCGGCATAGGGACACAGCGTCTGAGACGGTGGCTTCCTGAACTGCCCCTTATGTCGGAAACTTGCACTAAACATTTCTAGGCTGCATCACATCTATGTCACAATCAACATGAAGCAGGGTTGCTATCTCTGTTTCACAGTTGAAGAGGTTCAGGGATGTTAACTGTCTAACATGCACCAAGTGAAGCCTGGAATTCAAAACAAAGTTTTTTCAATTTGAAAATTCATTTAAAATTTATATAGCTGTTTCCTTGGAAGGACAGAAATTTAATTAATTAATTTTGAGACAAGGTCTCACTACACTATTTAGGGGCTGGGCTTGAACTCACTGTGTGTAGCCCAGGTTGGCCTTGAACTCATGGCCTTCCTCCTGCCTCAGCCTCCGGAGTGCTGTATTACAGGCATGTGCCACTATGCCTGGCTGGAAATTTTAAATTGAGCATGAACAATGTCGTAAGTAATATTCCATGATGACCAACTATTGCCAATGAGCCTCTTCAAGACTTAGGAATGAACTGCACTACCTTGGGCTTTACACCTGCAAGGTGAAGAATTCTGGGTCCTGTCACCTTTTTTTTTTTTTAGCACTCTTTTTTCTCTGCCTTTCATTTCCTTCCCTTTAAACTGCTAAGCTGAGGTGGTGGCGGCAGTCCCGTCTTTCTCTCCTGCCTCTTTCCTGGGCCTCTGGCACTTCTGTACTCCCGGCTTCTTCAGCTCTGAGACTGGAATGCATGAGAGATGGTGAAGGCCCTGGGCTCCCAGGCCTTCTTCTCCCTGACTCAGAGCCCTCTGTGTCTGTTTCCTTTATAACTGCCAGGACCTCAGCTGTACGTACTGGAGGAATGGTGAAAAGCACGTCCACCCCACCTTCCTGAGAGCAGAAATCCCAACTTGTGTTTTTAAGCCTCATTAATGTGACTGCAGCCAGGTGTGTTGGCACAAGCCTTTGATCCCAGTGCTCAGGGACTCGGAGGCCTGAAGACCACCAGTTTGAGGCAGACCCAGGCAACCTAGAGACTTAGGGAGACCCTGTCTCAAAATAAAAAGGAGCTGGGATGTGGCTCAGTGTGAAGGCCCTGGGTTCAATCCTCAGTACTGCAAAATATGATAAAAGTAAAATAAAACATGAAAAAAATCAAATTTTTGTGGCTAGCCCTATTGGTAGGGCATTGTTGCTGATTTACTCTGAGCTCAAACTATGTGTTCCAGTCGCCTCCTTCCTGCCTGACCCTGCGTCCCTTCCCATGGCTGTTAAACAGCTCCATCTCCTCCTGTGGGCCATGCCAGCTGCCTGCCCGGCAGCCTTCTCTGTCTGGTTTTCCAACTGCCCGGCTTCAGGACCCTCCTACACCAGCAGAGAGCACAAGAAAAGGTCCCAGAATTGCCCCAGTGTGGATGCTTAGGTCTTTGCAGGACATAAATGTCAAATCTGTATTAATGCAGGCTTTGAAGCATTTTTCCTGGTTTCCCATTTGCCCTAAAATGTTTCTTGTATTACCGTTATATAAACAAACATATTTACATAAATCCTACATTTGAAGTTGAATATATAAGTTTTCCTTTATGTGTATTTTCTGTCATTCTGGCTTATTTAGAAAGACTTATAAAGCTTAAAAATATCACACTTTCTTCTAGCATTTTTTGTTTTGATTTTTCCTTTTATTATTTCTTTTTGATGCACTAAACTTTTTCTCCTGCTCACCTTTGTGTCCCCCTGTGATTGTTTCATTATTTTGACTATTTCATTAATTTGAGATTGTTGGAAACAATTTTCAAGTATGAAGGAAACTAAAGATCCTGAGTTCTTCTTCTATTTACCAAACAGTGCATTCTATGTCATTTACCAGTTGACTGGCAAGCCCACTTGTTTTTCACACACTGAATTCTTATTTTCACTTGAGATGGTTTCTGGATTAAATTGTAGCATCAGCACTCTCCTTTACACCTCTGTTCTGAGCTGATCATGGGGTCCTTCATGAATGCTTCAGTGTTAATGCCATTCTCCACTTCTCACTGCTGACAGTGAGATTATCTATTCTCCTCCCATCACTTTATTTTATCTGTTTCTCAAAGATGTTGTCCTGAGATCTTGAAGTCCTGGAACAGCAGAGCTAGAAACCTTAGAATCATGTCTTTCCAGAAGACAGAAGCCCCTCTTTTTTGGGGGTCAGAGGGAAAAGGTGCCCTCTTGCCTCTGCCATTTATGTGTGTAGTGGTCCGCCATCTTGGTTATCTGTCAGTGACTTGGGCAGGAAGCCACCAACTGGAGTGAGGTTTTGTAGCATCTTGGGAAACGCTCTTGCTTTGATCTACAGTGATACCCATCCTAGTAGCAGTTAGTTTATAAGTCAGAGGCATTGAAGTCCTATGTTTGTAATGAGAAGACTTTGAATTTCTTCAAATTTCAATTTCATTATTGTTAAGAATAGAGATGATAATACTTTCATTGTAGGACCAGTGTTGTGATTAGCACACACACTTAACATATATGTATGTATAATGTATGTGATCATACATGTATATAACATATACAAGGTCTGCCCAAAAAGCATACACACATCAGGAAAAGAAAAATGTGTATGGATATTTTAATATTAAAAGCTACTTTTGGCCTCTACAATTACAATAGGTGCTCAAAGTGGTAGACAGTAGATTCCAGACATTTTTTTTCTGTAGTGTGTATACTTATTTTTGTCAGACTCTCTCTGTCTCTTTCTCTCTCTATATATATATATGTATATTCTCTCTCTCTCTCTCTCTCTCTATATATATATATATATATATACATATATGTATACTATATAATGTATCTATCATGCAGGCCTGTGCACTTGATATATAATTGAACTTCAATACATTATTGTTGGTTATTGATTTACAAAAATAGAAGCTATTTTGGGAGGCAAGAAGTCAACCACTAAACCACTAGCGCCTTCTGTGAGGGTGCAGACTGTGTGGTGCCTATGAGGTTTGAAAGGACACATTTAGAATCTGGATCTCAATTGCTTATACTAGATTTTGGAGATATTAAACTGGAGGGAACTAGAATTTTACTTATTTTTATGATACCTGAATCTGGAGGCTAGAGTGATAACATGGATCCTACTCCTTAGTTCAAACAAGTTACTATGATTAGTAAAGAAAAATTGTGGAGTACAACTTTCTAGTGTTTTTTTTTTTTATTAAGAGGATGCATGTTGGTGTTTAGTAAAGTATAACACTCTCATTATATTATAATCAGTAACAAACAACTGAAAGTTCAATTAACCTTCAAATGGTGGCTAAAGCTCCAAATTTCTGTAAGAAAAATAAAAGATATAATAGGTAAAGTTGGGCCAAAGTCAATCAGATAATGAGAGGTCCATCAAAGTCTTAGGTGGTCAGCTCTGTCCCTGCAGTTATTGAGCTCTGTACTGGGGACGCTCTGAGGTTTCCTAGCACAGAGACTGTTCTGTGTCTTCTTCCCCCATCTGGTCTCCCTGTCCAGAGAAGCAGGAGACCCCGCTATGAACAAGGCAGGGCTCAATCTTTCAAGCTTGTGTTCAAGCCTGCTGAGCAATCTTCAAGCAAAGTAGTACTTAGAACCTATAGTGCTCAGAATCCGGTCAGCAGCAGGAAGTCTGGCTTTGGCTTCTAGGGATGGGAGTTTGTTTAGGTGAAAGGAACTGAATTAAAGAGCTTCCCTGAGGAGAGCTGAAAATCAGTGCAGAGGGAAAGGTGGCCATGGCAGGGAAAGGCAGCAAGTAAGATTGCAGAGCTAAGCAAGCCAGGGGGGGAGGGGCGCTCTGAGCTCTTCTCCAGGAGCGTGCTGGGAGTGAAGCAGAGAGGGAAGATCACCATGCCTGATGAGATGGCTGCCCACTGATCACCATGTAACAGGAAAACAAGGAAGTTGGTGTCTAAGCACTGAGGTGAGGTAACACTTCAGTCCAAGAGCTGCTTTCGAATCCTGAGTTGGGCACTCACCAGCGATGGCCCAGGGCAAGATCTGAATTGCCAGATGGTACAGCGACCTTCCAGCCTTTGGCTTGAAAATCACCAGCCACTTGCCTAAACCATCAGGGTGGCTGCCACCAGGGAAGGAAAGAGACTGGGGTCTCCAGTCTGACTTTGTCTCCACTATCTACCAGCTGTTGGATATGAGTTCTTTGGTCTGTGTTTCCTGAAATGAAATGGAGCAAAAGGAAGTACTTAGCTCATGGTGTGGCTGTAAAGATTATGGTGACATTGACTACGTCCTTGGTGCCTCGCATCTGACAGTATCACTGTATGAAGCACAGCCAGCATCACGATCAGGCAGTGTGATTCCTGCTCTTTGAGGGACTCCATGGTCCCGAGGGAATACTGTGTGGGACTCACAGATGGGGAAAGGGGGCTGGGCGAGAATCAGCAGCTGCCTCTGTTCAGGGACCTGGAGCCATACCTCTCCTGGGGCTTCATCTGCTTGCTCTGAGGCAGAGCTGGGGTGTGCATGCCCTTCTCCTGCAGGACTGGCTCTCAGCACCGCCGCTGCTAGGCTGCCAAGGTAAAGTCTAACTGATTAACTAACTCTTTGTCTGCAGGGCTTGATTTATTATGGTCAAGGCCGACAGATACTCAGACACCTGTCCTTGAACCGCTGTTAAGAATATTTGAGCAAGTAGATAGCTCAGAGCATGCAGGGGTGGAGGAGTCAATCTCCCCTTGTCAGGATTGCTATCTAGATGCCAAGAGCCTCAAGTGCGTACAGGTGGGGCTTTGGGAAGGGGCTGGGGCGATGGGCGGTTAGGGCTGACTTGCTGTGAGGAGGTAGGGCTCGCTCAGCTGGAAGAGGTGGTCAGTAGGACGTGTCCTGGGAGGGTTTATCTCCCTCCCCATGCCCTTTCTTCCCTCTCTGCTTCCCGTGTGCAGTGCACAGGGGAGCTCTCCTCTGCCAGGCCCCTGTGCCATGCCGCCCTGCCTTGGAGCAGCCAACCACAGGCTGCAATATGAGCCACAATAAACCTCCTCTTCCTCAAATTGTAAATCCTGGGTATTTGTCTCACTGATGTGGGAAGTAACTAAGGCACAACTGATCAAGGAAGGCAGGACTGGCAGTGATGGTACACATCTCTCAACCCAGCACTCCAGGAGGCTGAAGCAGGAGGATCACGAGTTTGAGCCCCGCTTGCACAATTCAGTGAGAGATTGTCTCAGAATAAAACATTAAAAAGGACTGGGGATGTAGCTCCATGGGAAAGCCCTGGGTCCCACCCCAGGACGGAAATAAAAACATTTTAAAAAGAGAGATATAGAAAGTAAGTCCTGGTATCTGCAAATAGCAAGAGAGGATGGCGCCTTCTCTCGCTAATTGTTTAAAAGCAGTCAGATTAAATTCAGATTGCTTTGTGTCTAGTTAGAAGTCATGCTTCTAATTTAGTTGTATAGTGTTAGGGCTTAGCGCTAAAGTATCCTCCAAAAGCCCCATATGTGTAGTAATGGGGCCTTTGGAGTGGAGTAAGTCACCGATGAATTTATAGCTAACTGTGCTGTTAAGAAGTGGATCCTAATTGGGCGAGGTGGACCCCTGGACGGGTGCATTTTGCTCCTTGGCTCCTCCCTTCACTCTCTGCTTCCTATGAGCCAAATCGTGAGCAGCTTTCCCCTGCCATGACCTCTCATTGCGCTATTTACGCTTGGAGCCAGTTGAGCAGGGACTGAATCCCCCAAAACCTTTACTCCTTTTAATTTTGTTCTCAAGTATTTTATCCTAGAGGAAAGCGACTGATAAATACAGCACAATATTTGCCATTCACTACCATTTTACTGCCTCAAAAGATTGACAAACAATTTAAGTACCCAAGAGTTGGAGAATAAACATATTGTGATTTATTCCCTCAAAGGGCATTTGATAGGTTGGGGAGATATAATGTTGAAGATATAATGCTAACAGGAATATTACGTTACAAGATAAACACAAAATTGTATGCAGTATAATTCCAATGTAGCTTTAAAAGAAAAGAACCAAAGACATTTTTTTCATTTCTATTGTACATTTTAATACATTTTTTACATGAACAAGAATAATTTTTATAAGCAGCAATGTACACAGAGAGAGCTTTATTGAAAAAAATCAGAATCCTCTGGATTTTTCTCAAATATCGACCTCTTTCCATTCATTCACACATTCATGAATTCCTTTGTCCTGGATTCGGTCAACACAAAATGACTGAGTGTCTCTGGGGCTAGAGTTTCTGATCCCTAAAATATTCCTTAGTTCCTGCAATACTCATCTTGTTCTCCACCACACTTGTTTGGAAGTGCTGAATTACAGTGTGGAACAGTTTGTCACAATATTACTGTTAGTGCACTGCAAAAATTACAGTGCGTGCCTTGTTCTTTTCCCTGTGCTAATTTCCCGGCTTGGGGCTTACAGCTGATGGTGAATTAACACAGATGCCGAGCCAGGGCAGCCTTGGGCCACCCTGGCTGGGATGCGTGTCCAGGAAGGAGTCCCGTTTCCTGAGGATGCAGTGCAACACAGAGTATCACGTGTGGGCTGGAGTCTGAGGTTGCTTTGATGAGGGATCCGTTTTGCTTTTAGCATCACAACGTGCAGGCTGAGGCAGCCAGTTAGCCTGCTCTTAGGAAACAGCACCCATCATCTTCAGGATGTAATAATGGTGTAAAAAGTCACAGGCAGACCATGTCAGTGTCTCGCCGTATGGCGGGCCCTGGACTGCCTTCCTGGTCCCTACACTTGTGTCTCTTTTTAGCACTCAGTTCTGACTCTTGAATAGCATCCTGAAGTCTCTGTTGTTTGTGGTATTGACGGAGCCTTTTACCTTTCATGACATCCATTCATTTTTAGTGCTTCTTATAATTCACCAAAGTGTAAGAGTGTGGGAAAGGGACATTTTTCACAGTGATGGAAATTTGCGCTGTTCTCTGTGCTCTGGGTTTTGTAGGGTAATTTTGAAAGTCATAAGTCTTGGGGAAGAAAGGCTTCCGTAAGCCTCTTGGGAAATCTCTTTTGTTACATGTGAATTGTTATCTGGAATAACTGAAAGACTCAAACATCCTCTGAATTAGAGAGCTGAGTAATATTACTTTGTTATTCCATTGCTGAGGGGACTGTTGAAGGAAATGTATTTTATCAGAAATGTGATTTTTTAACAAAGTTTTTCCCTAAGAAAAATACAATAGTCTTGTAAAGATTGTAAAGTTATAAAACATTTTAAAAATAAAAATCACCAATCATTCCCCTAGACACGATCGCTGGTAAATAGATAAACAGATATACGTGTACATATTTAAACCCAAGTACTTACATGTCCATATTGTGTAATTCTATTTATGTGACGTGACTTCAACTGGGCGTTTATAGAATGTCTTACACTTATCATTGTCATAGCTTCTGTTTTTAAATATAAACCTATGCACTTCATTTTACAAACCTCATTGTGTTGGGTGTATAATTTTTCTATTGCATGTTTATGATGGTGATATGTTTGCATTTAAAAATTCCCTTTTGGTATAAAATTGCAGAATCTTGCTCTTTCTACCTACACTAGCTTCGTACCGCTATAGGAAGAGATTGGTTAGACCGATTCCCTGAGCTAACATTCTGGCCAGCAGTGAGCCTCACATAGTTCCACCCCACCCAAAATAGAGACAGAGAGCAGTTGTTCTGCCGGTGTAAACACAGGGTCGGAACCAAGGCCCTGAGCTCTGCTAACTGGTTCTTTTTCAAATCAACCCATTGAGCAGCTAGGAGTGAATGTGAGGAAAGGAAGCAGCAGTTCTATATTCTTGTGCAGCATTCAGGCTACAATCAGAGATAAGCAGGCATGCAGGAAGGGCCGTGGCTCTGCACAGAGATTATTCAACCACGATAGAGTGTTGTCATCTCTAACGGAATACAGAGGAACTCATCGCACTTCGTGAAAGACTTTTCGTTCACATGCTCATCAAAAATCTTGTGATTGACTTCAATTCCCAGCATGAAGACAAAACAAAACTCTTGTGAAAGAACAAAGGACACGGCTGTGTCAGGACTGGATTCGTGACTCTGACTTCCCAGGAGGACTCTCTTAGTGACCGTTCTTTCCTTGCTGAAGTAAAATATCTGACACCCAAAATTAAACAGTGCCAGCATTCAATGGCATGAGACAGACATTTCCATCCAAAAGTTACAAACAAGGAAACAAAGGAACGGGAATAAACAAGACCAAAATCCAACAAGCAAACATTAAACCCCACATCCCTGGCAATCTGAGGCAAGATGTGAACCCCAAAGGGCTTGGATGGCTTTGCTTCCCGGTGGTGGGTGAAGCTTCTGTGGGTTCTTTCTAGTCTTTTCAGAGACCAGTTTCTCTTTTCTTCCAGTTTTGCAGGCCCCAAGGTTATTGGAACTCCTTTCTGGCCAGACTCAAAATGTTTTATAACATGCTGCTGGGTTCTTTGCTCTTGACTCTCAACATCAATCCGGTGAGAAGCCCCCAACATTAGCCTGCCTTGAAATGTCTTCTGCCAGATTAATCAGTCTGCTGACCTTAGTCTCAGTCTCAGGCAAAGTCTCTGGACATGAGCAAACTGCAGACGAACTTTCTGTCAAGCCATAACACACGTCCCCTGGAGTTTAGTAGGCAATGCAGTGCTCCTTCCCAGCAGAAACTCCCGCGCCTGCTCTTTCTGCCAGCCTTCTGGGCTTCTGAACTCTGACTAGCATGGCTTAAGCTGTTCCAGCTCTACTTTTTCAGCCCGTCTTTCTGAAACTTTCCAAACCCTTCTCACAAGCCATTTCTAAAGGCTCCTGAACCACATGGTCAGGCACAATCACAGCAACAACCTCACTCTTGGAACCAAATTCTTAGTTACTTTTTCCTTGTACCTTCTGCCGGACATGAGCTATTTCTCTTCTGTGATGCCTCTTGGTTGTGTGCTACCTCACCTTAGAGCTGCCAGTGATGGACTGAAACCTCTCCAAATTGAGCTAAATAAACCTTTCTCCTTTAACTTTGGGTATTGGGTATTTTGTCTCAGTAACGAGGAAAGTAACTCAGACAATAACCAAGCACGCCGCCTTGGATTTACAAATAGATGGTGCTCACTGGTGTGTGTGGGAGGTGGGGGTGCAGAGGGCAGTGTGCAAGGCTTTACCAAGGCTTTACACTTTCAAATTTAGAGCTGCAGTGTCTAGACCTCTTGGCAGTGCCTGACCCCAACTGCCACCTTTGTGATGGGGGGTGGTTAGCTGGGGAAGCTGCTCTTTGCAAAGTTCCATTCATATCAATCGGTGACGTGCATTTCATTGTGGTGCTGTCTGAAGACAGGCTTTGAAAAGCTGCTTCAAGGATATGCCTTTGCGAGTAAGTTTACTCCGCAGATCTGTGGTTGAGAATTTTGCTCTGTTCCTAAGGTGCAGCTACCTGTGTGCTGGAAATATTAGCATGGAGGGAGGAAATCAAGAGGTTAGGAGGACACCCAGGTGCTGTTTGGAAGCCAGGTTGGCTGGACTCTGCACCCCTGCGGGCTTCTGAAAGGGCTGCCTCTCAGCAGTTGGGAAGAGAACCCAGGAGGCCTAGTGGGGTGTTAACCTTCAGCCATCTGGGGCTCCAGATGAGAAAGGACCAAACAAAAAAGGCCTCCACCTTTTTAAATTTTTTACAAATTATGTGAAATTATTATTTGCTGGAAAAATAATAAAATCTTCAACAAGGGTGTGAGGGCGGAAGTACATGGTGAAAGGAGGAATATATAATAGTTGGTAAAATTAGGGTGTTAGGTAATATTTGGAAATTCTGAGTATGCTTTCTTTAGAAACAAAAAACAAAACAAAACAAGACAAAACAAGCTGTTGGACTTAGTGGTGCATACATGTGATCCCAAAACTCTGGGAAGCTGAGACAGGAGGATCACAAGTTCAAGTTCTTCCTGGCAATTTAGTGACTTAGGGAGACCCTGTCTCAACATAAAAATAATAAAAAGGGGGTGGGGATGGAGCTCAGTGAGAAGGCTTTAAGTTCAACCCCAGGGCTACAAAACAAAAGGCAAATCAAACCAAACCAAAAATAGTCACAAAAATCTGGAAAGGTGCATGGCACTCCGGGCCACACATTAACCAGTGGAGAGATGGGGAGCCCCAGAGCGTGGGGTGCTGGGGTCCTGACCATGTGGCCTCTGCAGAGGGACTCTGATCACCCAGCAGGCTCTGGACCCATCCACCACAGTCTGGACCAGAGGGCTGGCTCAGGAGTCAGCCAGAGGGATGGTGATTTATGACCCAGCTCTGAGATTCCCTTAAATAGAAAAGAGTGGCTCCTCGGCTCCTCCCGGCCTGGCTTGTGTCTCCCGGCCTCTCCTGGAGTCCTGGCTAGTGCAGACTTCTGAGCACTCGCTGGAAGTTAGGGTAAAGGCAGTAACCAGGCCCTTGAGAAGCAAGGGTACCCTCTCCGGAGTGATACCGGATGCTTATGAGGGGGAGGTGGGCAATACTGGGCTTGGGTCCTGGCACCCAGCTAGCCCTCAGACGTGTTCCCATGCTGCCTCCAAGTGTAATACTCACCATGACACATTCCTTCTTTAATACACAGCTGGCCCCTTCCTGCAGTGGAGGCCTGAAATCTAGGATAATGCTGGATCCTGCCAGATGTGATGGTACACATCTGTAATCCCAACACTCAGGAGGCTGAGGCAGGAGGATTGCTGGGAATTTGAGGCCAGTCTGGGCTACGTAGTGACTTCAAGGCAGCCTGACCTACATAGCGAGACCTTATCTCAACTCCTACTCCCTCTAAAATGAGTGCGATTGAGATGTGTGTTGTGCATGCACCCTGTCCCCTGGATAAATGTCATCATGCACTGCAAACATGGACTGAGGAGAATAAACAAGTTATGTGAGCAGAGTTTTGCTGTCTCTTCCTCTCAAACTAAAACTAACTTCCTGCACTGCACAGTTCACAGCTGATCTCAGATCACTGACCTCATGTAGGTAACTGAGGACAAACACTAGCCTAGTAAACAATAGGCCCTAGCAACAATTCACTTTAAAATGGGGGCAGTTACTTCTTATATCTAATCTTCATTTCAAACTGAGCATCGTGTTACATTTGACTTTGACTAAAATGGAAACGAACATGGAATATACGCAGCATGAGGATGTGAAGAAAAACATTTACAGCTGGTGACGCCCCCTGGGTTGGGGCGGGTGCTGATCATTCCTGCCTCAGCCTACTGGTGGGAAAGTGGCATTGCAGCTCAGACCAGGCAGGACTGAGATCCATGCTAGTCTGGGGGTCAATTATATAAGTAATTTTTGAAAATCAGGGTTTCAGTGGGCTTTGCGAAAAATCTGGCTTAATGAGTCGAATGACTTGTCGAAGGTTCTTAAATTAGCCAAGATGCACAGCTATATTCCTTTAAATTATAGATACTTTGAGGGCTGCTGTCAACCTCCCAAGAGTGGACTTAAAAGAGCATTTGTCCCTGGGTGTAGTGGGGCAGATCTGTGATCCCAGCACTCTGAGAGGCTGAGGCAGGAGGATCAGGAGTTTGAGCCCAGGCTGGGCAACTAAACAACTTAGTGAGACCCCATTTGACAGTAAAAAAGAGCTGGGGATGTAGTCAGTGTGAGGGCTCTGAGTTTGATCCCTGGTACTGCAGAAAAGGAGCTACTTGGGTTCAGATGGAGGGTGTAGACTGTGCGTGCGCATGTGTGTGTGTGTGTGGTGTGTGTGTGCATGTGTGCGTGCGTGTGCAGCAGCAGGGGGTGTTAGTGTGTCAGGAAGGAGGAGGACTTGAACACAGGGATTGCACTCTGAGCGGGTTCACAAAGCCCAAGCCACACAAGTGGCCGGAAGTCCGGGTCCTGCAGAGTGGGGCCCAGAGATGGAGCCCCAGTGGCTGCTTTCAGCCTCTGGGTTGCTGCGGTCCGTGGTGGGTTGGTTTTAACAGAGGAGCACAGAACTTGAGGATCTGCCCAGCCTAACGGGGTCAGCCTCACCCAAAGGCTCAGGTCAGCTCATTGGGAAGCACCCAGAAAAGCTGGAAGAGCCTGTCCCCGTGCGCACAGTGAGGTGGACACAGGACCTTCATGGGAGCAATATCTCCTGCACCTTTTTTATTTGGAGACAGTCTTGTTCACTGAGTTGCCCAAGCTGGGCTGGGCTTTGTGATCCTCCTGCCTCATCCTCCCAGGCTGCTGATGATACTGGAAGGTACAAACCACCACTTGCCTTTTTAAAACCTTTGGTCCTTTCTACCTCAGCTCAATGAGTGTGGGAGAAAGGTGACTTGTGTGGCTCCTACCTGCTTTCTTGCTGCCCCCGGTACTCACTGAAGTGCTGAGCTGGGCATCTGTGAAATTAAAATGCAAAGGGCAGAGAGGCAGGGGTGGAAGGGGCCCTCAGGAACACAGGTCCCCGGGTACCCTGGCCTTGCTGTGCACACGAGAGTCCCTGGCTGCAGGTGACAGTGGCTGAGCCGGGCCCCATGCCTGAGACTGTCATGGAGAAGAGATAGAGCCAGGGCCCAGTGCTCAGGGTGACAGATGGTGAGAGCCTGGGCTGGGCCGGGCCAGGCTTGGAAGAGTCTCATGTACCCGTGGAGCTGGACTCTAATGTGGACTTCAGCTGCCTGGGTCTGGAGCATCAGGGTCCCGGAAGTGCTGGGGATGCTCTGCAAGGGTCCTGAGATGTTCAAGTGCATGAGGTGTCATCTGCTGGAGATGGTTTGATTTGGGGATGCTGGGCAGCAGCTTCAGAGCAGACAGAGTATTTAGTGGCCATTGTGTCCATTACGCAGGTTCTCAGGGACACATGGGCTTCGCTGAGCAGGTGCAGCTGTGGCTCAGTGTGGCTGCAGGGCCATGTGGCATGGTGATCCTCCTGCCTCAGCCTTCAGTGCTGGGATTATTGCACTGAAGTTTTGGAGTCTCATAATTTCCCATCCACTCAGCCAGAAATAATAAAACTAGAATCAGTTTACAATTAAATTGTGTTGTTTTAAAAAAATCAACACAAAACCCTAAAGTTGCTTTTCTCCCCCTTATCTTTTGGTCGTTCCCATATCTTTTAAAATAATATGGCTGGGTATGGTAGCACATGCCTGTAATTCTAGTATTCAGGAGGCTGAGGCAGGAGGATCGTTACAAGTTCAAGACCAGCCTGAGCTACAAAGTGAGCCCAAGGCTAGCCGTAACTACAACGACCAAAAAACAACAAACTGTATGGTTCACTCACAGCAACAGTCTGAAATCTCCGTGACCTGGGGGTGAGGTAATAAGAAGAGGAAACAGAGGAGAGAGAGGAATTCTAATGCAGAAAATGGAAGCATAGCTTACTTCAAAATTAAAAAAGCATTCATCATGATTGTAAAAAATAGAGCTCTGAGATCAAAATACAAGTTTTTTTTAAAGTGCATGCATCTTTTATTAATTGATCAAATGGAAGCTTCTAAGTTCATGATAGATTTCCCAAATACTCAGGATAGTAAAGGCACCTGAGTATTGATGGTGAGCTATGACTTGGGTGGCTGTGATATCTACTTAAGATTTCTCACTTTATACCTTACCAGGCTGGACAGGGCCAGAGCTGGCCCAACATGGCCATCCAGCTTGAATGGCTACACCTCTCGTGAGGCAGGAGGGTCTGGTATTCAAGATTGCGCTCTGTCTCTCTCTCTCCCTCCCTCCCTCTCTCTCTCCCTCTCCCCCCACCCCTTTCTTTTGTACAAGCAGGAGGAAAATAACATGGCTGCCTGCACGGTAGGAGTTAAGGAATGGAGCCCTCTGTACTCACTCAAGAGAGCAGAGCTCAGTGAGGGACAGTGCCATCAACACAGAAATCTTTGCCATGGTGACTGCAGGTGTTCAGCTCTAGAGATGCACCACTAAAGGCAGTTAGTTGCTTTTTGGGAATTGCTGGGGCCCTGGGAGGGAGAAAGGTGGGGACACTGAGCATGTGAATGCCAGCACCGCAGAGACAGGCCACTCCCCCAGGATGTTCTGCCCCTGAGGGTTTGGGGTGCTGTTCCCAAAAGAACTGCAGAAGCTGTGCACTGCTTAAAATGGTGGCACACA